TTCAGGCAGGTGTGGTTAACCTGCTAGGTACATGTTTTAGGGTATGAAACCACATGAATTTTTTATCTTTGTCAGGAAACAACTTACCAAGAGCTATTGTTATTTAAAACTTCTCATCTTTTATTTTTAGGTGTGTAGAGAGAACTTCCTTGCTCAGTAACACTGATTGCTGGGAAGAATATGGAATGACATGTTGATGTCTTCTGAGTTTTGTATCTTAATTTTTTTTTTAATCCACTTAACCACTGAGCCACATTCCCAGCCCAATTTTGTATTTTATTAGATACAGGGTCTCAATGAGTTGCTTAGTGCCTCACCATTGCTGAGGCTGGCTTTGAACCTACAATCCTCCTACCTCAGTCTCCTGAGCTGCCAGGATTATAGGCATGCACCACTATGCCCAGCTTAAATCACCACTTTTTTAAAAAAATGATTGCAGGTTAAAGGAGAGCAAAGTTTTTTTGTGAGTTATAAAATGAGACTAATACTTGTAAAGTGCCTGGAATATAAGCACTATTTTTATCCAGTCAAACTCCATAAATATGAGTCCTTACAAGTATTAACATCTTGTGGTTGTGCAGAGAGGCAATTTGACAATGCTTAGGACACTGCCTCTGGAGCCGGACTCCTAAGGTCAGATCCCAGCCTCTGCCTCTTATTCTGTACATAACCACGGGCAGGTTAAGTCATTCTCATGGCTTCTTTTTTTCTTTTTTTTTTAATTTTACTGGGCATTAAACTCATCGGTACTAGACCACTGAGCCACATCCCAGCCCTATTTTTTATTTTATTTAGAGACAGGGTCTCACTGTGCCTCACTTTTGCTGAGGCTGGCTTTGAGCTTGTGATCCTTCTGCTCTAGCCTCCCAAGTTGCTGGGATTATAGGCATGTGCATCACACTGCACCTGGCTCATGGTTTTTTATCTATAAGAATTAGAGCTTGGGCTAGGGTTGTAGCTCAGTAATAGAGTGCTTGTCTAGCACATATGAGGCACTGGGTTCAATCCTCAGCACCACATAAATCAATAAATAAATAAAATAAAGGTATTGTGTCCATCTTCAATTAAAAATATTTTTTAAAAAAGAATTGAAGCTCATTTTCAACCAGTAGATACTAATACTATACAGAATACATTTAGACTCATGTCCATGGGTTCTGCATCCATAGATTCAGTCAATTACAGATTAAAAATATTTGGAAAAAATTTGCATCTTCAATGAACATGTACAGATGTCTTTCCCTGTCATTTCCTAAACAGAGTATAATAACTTTGTAGCATTTACATTGTGTATTAGTATTTTAAATAATCTAAAGGTGAATTAAATTACTTTAAGAGGAGGCATGTAGATTATATGCAAATACTATGTCATTTTATAAAAGGGATTGATCATCTGCAGATTTTGGTATCTGTAGATA